GTATTTATTTTCTCAGTGGTTAAAATAATTGGATGTCTTAAAATTTCATGCACTTTTTTCTATGCTCGTATGAGATGCGGCAACCTGAACTTGAGAAGTACCATATGAGTTCGTATTCCAATTTTTCTTCCTGACTATGTTTTTCCTTTATGTTCATCTAGTGTCTGCAATTGTGATACATTATTTTTTCAAACGATCAGGCTATCTCGCAGACATTCGTCATTCTGAGGATTCGCAATGTTTTCTGAAAAAATAAATAGTTTAATAAATCTCGTATTTGTAGTTCAGGGATAAAGTTGAAATCAAGTAAGTTCGCTAATGATAATGTCGGATCAGTTGGATGATGTAATACTTCCTGGGTATTAGCACTTAAGGAGAGTGGGTGTTTAGCACTTTACACATAGATAGTGGGCGACATAACCCCAAAACCACGAAAATATCCGTAAAATGTATACTGCATTCTAGATTATGTCACAATAGGAATTATCCCAGCCTCTTGTTCACTTGCAGCATTACCATGACACTCATATTTTTAAGTTGTAAATCCAAAATATCTTTAGAAAGAGAGAATATTAAAACAGGCCGAAAAGGGTTGAATTACTGTTTTATGTATTCAAAGTAAGGAACCTGTCTAAGTTTATCTAACCAGCAGCAGAAAAACAAGTGGTTTGTTCACAGTAAAGCCTACGAAATACTTCTAACAATACTGACAGAGATACATTATTGATGTTCGAAGCTAAGAGTAAGTCAAACTTTAGAATTAATTTTAAGAAATATAATTCAAAATGCTTTCCATATTCACAAGATTTTGTTTCATGTTTGTTGACATAGTTACATTATCTGATGTGAATAGGAAGAATTATTGAAGCATACACATATATATATATTTATGTAATGTCGACTGTCTACGTGGATCGTGGGATGGCCTGGTGTACAGTGGTTGGTAAGTTTTTGAGACAATTTCGAGTGATTTATGAGTGACCTTTCTACACATCATCCTTAGAATTTGTGTATAACGTATTCTACAGATGAATTGTAAGTTATCTTTGTTGAAATTCGATATTCAGTTATTAAAATACTCGAATTTTAATCGTCGAGTTGCGAGGTCGAACTTTACTTCACCTACTTCTAGTAGGAGAACTGGATTTTATAACCAGGATTCATATGTTTCAAGTACTTGTACATAAATCCGTATTATATATATAAGCATGTATCAAAGGTTAAAAAGCACATCACGACATACCTAATCCATTTTCTTTAGTTTGGATAAACTATGATGTACGGGCTTACCAGTTTTTTCGAATGCTATTAAACATTAAGAAATATTACCAATTTCGCCAGATGTTTTGTGCTTGAGAAGGAAATCAAAAACCATCTTCAAAATAAAGGCTGTTTATTAGGACTCGTATTAAATTAAACAGATAGTATTTGTTGGTGTCTACCTGGTATATCTGCTGTCACTTATTTTTGTTAAGAATGACCATTTATATAATGAAGTGTTTTTACTTTGACCCTTGTTACGCAGACGGTTGAAACATGTTTTTTATGTCTTCTTTGAAATTTCTTGATACATTACTTTTATTGAATTAGGAATAAGTCGGGATAACATCTCATGAGAATCAGAATAATGTCCTGTACTAGTCTTTAATGTTTAAGATTGCTCGTTTTCAAACTTTTCCTTATTCTAAAAACGTTAAAAATGAGTGGCTATGGGCTTGAAATGATATATGTGAGCGTGAATGAAAACGGTCAAAGCTATTCACTTTTTCGTCTTTTAACTGAAGGCTATTTATTTACCACTACTTAATCGTAATTTATTCTTTTTTATTTCCATTAACTGGTGCCTGTTACACAGCATATTTGAATTTTAAAGAAATAGTAAATTTCCTTAGTCAGTGTCTTTTTTCAATTACGTCTAAAATTGACGTAGTATCCCAGTGATGCACATCAACTTCTAATGTTTTGTTTTGAAAAGAATCGGTGCATTTAAAGATCCATTTTCTAAAAACCAACATTAAATGTGCAAGTCAGTTTTTATTACCAAATTCTTTTTGAGAAGGGATATTTTAATCGCTGAGAAACTGAATACTTTAACCGTTTATTGCAAATAAAAATTTATTCACTAGATATTGTATGAGGTAAACCAAAATAATCAGTTGGTAGTCGTAAGAGTTACATATGTTTGGTGGCCCATTCATGATAATATCAGTCAAACCTCTGTTGTTGAATCTATGTAAAGTAAAATGCATTTCTGAGTTCAACTTAAATAGTTACAGTAGATAAAGTTTTGGATGGCAGATTGTGAAGGGAATATTCTACACAGCTACTTTACCAATCACTTTTACTAACTACTCAATGTTGATTACATTGTTCAGGGTCGAACTTTTATTGCTAATGTCAACTTTTTCTCGCGTCCATAATTTCCCTAGCTCCGTTAGACTTACTTACTTACTTACTTACGCCTGTTACTCCCAATGGAGCATAGGCCGACGACCAGCATTCTCCAACCCACTCTGTCCTGGGCCTTCTTTTCTAGTTCCATCCAATTCTTGTTCATTTTTCTCATCGGGGTGTGGCCCCCTAAGAAAACCACCTGCTTCGGTTTGGGCACCCGGGCAGTATCACAGCCCTCACACAAATCAATTGAGATTTGTGTGGCGCATATGTATTTGGTGCCTTCCTGTACCTATACTTATGTGTTAAAATAATAAAAAAAAAATAAATAAATAAATAAATAAATCATTTTTCTCATATCTATCTCCATTTCTCGGTGTAATGTGTTCTTTGGTCTTCCTCTCCTCCTTCGACATTGAGGATTCCATATGAGGGCTTGTCTTGTGACGCAGTTCGGTGCTTTCCTCAATGTGTGTCCTATCCACTTCCAGCGTTTCTTCCTGATTTCTTCTTCCACTGGGATGTGATTTGTTCTCTCCCATAGTAGGTTGTTGCTAATAGTGTCCGGCCAGCGGATCTGAAGTATTTTGCATAGACAACTGTTAATAAACACCTGTATCTTTTGGATGATGGATTTCGTAGTTTTCCAGGTTTCCGCCCCATACAGTAAAGCTGTTTTGACATTTGTTTTGAAAATTATGACTTTGATGTTGGTTGCCAATTGTTTTGAGTTCCATTTATTTTATTTATTTATTTAACACATAGGTATTGGTACAAGGAGGCACCAAATACATATGCGCCACACAAATCTCAATTGATTTGTGTGAGGGCTGTGATACTGACCGGGTGCCCAAACCGAAGCAGGCGGTTTTCTTAGCGGGTCGCACACCGAGCCTTTGACCTGAACGTCTGACCCACAAGGCAGTGGAGCATCGTGAGGAGATGCAGTCCCATGGTAGCCGGTGACCAACGATTGGTTCATACGCCATTTGTTCCTTGAAGCAGGATACTCGAGCCCATGTACACCATTGGTTTGGGATCCGGTTAAAGCGCCGGACATTCGCTTTTCGTCCTCTCATTTTCGTAAACAACACCCCCACCACGAGAAGGCAGTGAGTAGGACTTCCCTGGCAGAGGCTATGTACGCGTGGCCATGTGAGAGCATTTGGAGGGGGAGAGCGGACTCTCCCCACTCTCGGCCGTACCAGGGCATTTGGGGGCTTTGAGTTCCAGATATTCTTCAGTTGTAAATATGCTGCTCTTACTTTGCCGATCCGTGCCTTCACATCTGCATCAGATCCACCGTGTTCATCGATGATACTGCCCAAATATGTAAAGGTTTTTACATCTCCCAAATCTTCTCCGTCAATCGTGATTGGATTGTTGCGTTCTGTGTTGTATCGAAGAATCTTGCTTTTCCCTTTGTGTATATTGGGACCTATTGCTGCTGAGACTGCAACTACACTGGTTGTGTTCTCCTGCATTTGTTGTTGCGTATGCGATAGAAGAGCCAGATTATCTGCGACGTCTAGATCATCCAATTGTATCCTAGCTGTCCACTGTATCCCGTGCTTCCCTTCAGATGTTGACGTCTTCATGTGATTTACAGCTAGCTCGAACGTAGCTGGTTAAAAACGCTAACCAGCTCCGTTAGAGCTAGCTGTAAATCACATAGTAGCTGTATTTTTCAGTATTTCATTGGTAGTAGTCACAGTTCTAGACAATCCGTTCAGTACAATTCAGATAAATTGTTCTTTATACCTTGGTATAATATATTTAATTAGTACATCAAGAGTGAAATGACAAATTAGTAAAAGAAATACGTTTTGTCCTATTTATGAATAAGTATTTTGGCTTTACATGAGAGCCAATAGTCTTACGCACTCACTATTCAGTTTGTTACATGCTGATGTAATGAAGTGCGATAGATTCCTCATAGTTTTTCATTATGAATAAATTGAATGTTTTTATTTACAGTAATTTGGAAAAATCTACTGAAATGTTTAACAAATGTTGAAAAATAAATAAACATCAAAATTAATCTCACACAATCATCCTTGAATACGATAAGAAATCGAAGATGATAACTCATTTCCTAAATCCAACAGTTTTCAGAAATGAGAATGTTATCAACTCTATCTTTTCATTGTTCTGTAATTCATTGATTGAAGTGATTTCCTTCTAACCATTGGGCACCAAGTTTAACATCTACTCTTGCAGTTAGTGTTGCAGTATGGTACCACTTTACTTCATACAAATAATGGGACTTAAAATCGCGTGTTTAAACTTGTACTTGGTAAATAATTTGTATAAATCAGTATATTTAACTACTAAACCCGTTATATATATTACCACCACTGAATTAACTACTCCTATGAATCCGGTGTTCATCTTGTTGTGCTAATGCGGTATGGCAACTTGGACCGATGCATATACGTGCCTGGTCCTACGTTGCAGCTGACTGACTGACTGAAACCCGTTAAGCAGTATTGTCAAGTGTAAACGCGATGACTCAATTAAAAAATGTTTTATTTTTTGAGGAAAGTCATATTCTAGTTCAATAAATTTTTATTTCTCAATTGTTTTGTTTTGTTTATTAATAATAGGCGGATTTGTTGCCAACGTTCTGTTAGGTGGTTTAGGCAAATCTTATAGTTTGGTTATGGAAGCGTTTCAAGAAGTATTTGAATGTGGTTCTGCCTACTTGTTTTTAGCTGGTGGTTTAATCTATACACTTATGTATTGTCTGTGTAAGTTTCTATGCATTTGAGATATTATGTTTATATTTTCGAAATCAATTAAATATTTCTATAAATAACATTTATCGTATACACACGAACAAATGCACATAAAGACAACCAATGTAGCATCAGTCTCTGCATCAGTAGACCTCAACATACACTAGGGGGGAAAACCAAGGTCCTCAAGTACAACACGGTGAACAGCAACCGATCCAATCAAACATGATGGCGAAACTCTGGAAGATGTGGAATTCTTCACATACCTGGGAAGCATCGTCGATGAACAAGGTGGTTCAGATGCAAACGTAAAGATGTGCATTGGCAAAGCAAGGGCAGCATTCCTTCAATTGAAGAACATATGGAACTCAAAGCAACTTTCAACAAATATCAAAGTCACAATCTTCAATACGAACGTCAACACAGTTAGTTCTACCGTACGGAGCTGAAACTTGGAGAACTACAACAACCACCATCAAGAAGGTACAAGTATTTATCAATAGCTGTCTACGCAAGATACTCAACATCCATTGGCCGGATGCCATCAGCAACAGCCTTTTGTGGGAGAGAACCAACCAGCTTCCAGCTGAAGAGTAAATTAGGAAAAGACGATGGAAATAGATAGGACATACATTACAGAAATCATCAAACTGCATTACGAGACAAGCACTAACTCGGAAATCTGAAGGAAGTGGAAAAGAGGAAGGTCAAAGAACACATTACATTTGGGAAATAGAATCAGATATGAAAGGGATGAATAAGAACTAGAAAGAGCTGGAGAGGATTGTCCAAGACAGAGTTGTATGGAGAATGCTTGTGAGTGGCCTATGCTCCTTCACGAGGAGTAACAGGCGTAAGTAAGTAAATATAAATAACATTTAGATATTATTAAATTACACTTGGCGGGATTCTAAGAAATTTATTTGGAGAATTTTAAATGAATTCATTGAGCGATGGTGACAATCAGCTGATGATTAGAAATGAAGTCAAAATAATAGTAATATTCTATATAGAGATAGAGAACAATTATCCAATAAGATATTTTTAAAAAATAGATGATTTCGAGGATTGCAAGTTTTTAAAAATAATAAGATTTAAGATCTGGGTTTGGATAAAAAGTGAATGCATCCTGGACCTTGGTGTATGACATGGCTATTCGCTTTCACCGTTTTTATTTAAATTTGTCTTAGATATGGTTTTAGAGGCAACACTTTCATCGTCTGATCTTTCAGCGATTGGTCTACTTGGATATTTACTTGACTTGAAATACGCAAATGATATAGCTTTGTTTGGTGAAGACGCTAGCAAAATACTGAGTCTGCTAACCACTTTAAGCAATATTGCAAGCATGTTTGGATGCGGTTCTCTCTCTTTAGAAGCTAAATGTTACTTCAGGATTGTCCTGCGTCATCGCCTGAATTAATCATAGGGGGTGAAGTAGTTGAACTCATAGAACACTTCACTTATCTTAGGAGTCTCATCAGTATTGATGGTTTGCTATCTGACAAAATTCCGACACGAATCCAGAAGGTTCGATAGGCTTTTTGCCAACTTACGTCACTTGTGGAGTAGGTGAGATATCCATCTTCCAACGAAAGCACGTCCTACTTTATAGATGTCAAAGATGAGCATTAAGAGTAGAGGATATTTGTAGGTTACTGGTATTCGATCATAGGTGTCTTCGAAGAATGGTTCGTGTATTTTGGGTCCACGGAATAAACAATGTCTAAGTTAGGAATGGGGTACTATGTAAGCATGAGGAATGGATTGATGAGGTGGTAAATCGTCACCAACTGAGGTTACATATGTTCAACCGTCTGCCACCTCGACGGGCGGCTTTTACTGTTGCAGGAGTAAGGTGAAGGGAAGCTAATGGTGGTTAAACCAAAACATAGCTTCAGTCCATGAATCCACTAAAAAGTGGATTTATTGACGTTAATAGGTGTAGACTACATGGTTGAGGTGCGCGTGATTACCGTAACTAATGGTTATCGACTTTGAACTGCATGACTGAAAATTGTTTGCAATCGCACAGTTGCATCCATTCTTTATCTTCCCCAGAATCCTGAGATTCTAAATTCTTCATAACTCTTTTGTTTTTGTTTCGCTAATTCATACTTTATTTTCGAGTTGTGTGTTCGGTGCCTAGTCTTTCCCATTACCACTGATATTCTTACTATCTCTACTATTCTGGGATTTGACCTAACAACTTCATCTCTCTGTGTTAATGGGGTATGGCAACTCGAACCGATATACATACATATAGGCCTTATGTTGTTACTGACTGATTTTGTGTAGATCTTCTTACATTAGAGTTCGTGTAATCAGTTGGAACTGAATATTATTTAATTACCAAGCTAGCTCTTTTGAAATACATATTTGAACACTCCCCTACCTGGCTTTCTAAAGGACTACAGAAGTCAGTTTAAAGCTCAATCTTGAAGTGTTGCTTATTCTACTTACCGAATAATACAACGTATAAGATCTCCAGAATTTTAGCGTAGTTTAGTTGTGTTTTCACACCTAACAATTTTAACATGATGCTCTAGATTTGGTCACCCAGTTTTACCATAACTAGTGAAGGACATAGATATACTGAATTAAAAAGTTACATCATCCCTAGTACCTTGCCTTTAACACTTTTTCATCGTTATCAAGTTTGATTAGTGTTTACCAACTTACTCAACTCAGTATAGTCTGTTAGTTGTTTAATTCCCTTCTAAGCGGATATACAACTTATTAGTGTCATTAATTAAAAAAAAACAATCTAGGTGTTGTCAGTTCTTTTAAACAATATCAAGATGTACTAGTTGGGGTCCACGTGACTATCGTAACCGATGGTTGGAGACTCTTGGTGACATGGCTCAGAATCGATCACAATGGCGTAGGTGTATACACTCTGTCTTCTTTTAAACTAAGAGATTAAAATCACTTCAAATCTTTCTTTCTACGAACTAATTCTATCTTCCTGTACTATCTCCTTATACACACTCTTTCTTCTATGTATTACCACCACTGAATTAAATACTTCTATGAATCCGGTGTTCATCTTGTTGTGGTAATGCGGTATGGCAACTTGGACCGATGCATATACGTGCCTGGTCCTACGTTGCAGCTGACTGACTGATGTACTAGTGTCTTCGACTTATATTTTTAGCATTTGATGGAGCCACTAGTTTGTCGGATTTTTAGTTAATAGAGGATTCGATATACGCAACAAGGTGACCAATGGGGTTGTAAAAATATACCACCAACGTGTGTGAGAGATTTTACATGTTCGATTACTGTTTTATTAGGTATTGAATGCTGGATTAAGTATTCAAGCGCTTATATAATTCAAAAACCTAGTCTTTTAGGTAACCTATATCAATATGGGATCAAGTCATAGAATGACTATCAAGCCATAAAAAATAGCATAGAATGATTTGTTTCCTAAGAAATATTGTTTCTCGAAATGGAGTTAAGTAATCTACTAATTTTAGATTCATAATATGGACAATACTTGAAAAATGCAATCAGTTTTTAGTGTTTAAAAGTATCAAGGTGATCGACAGTCCCCAGCCGTGATTGTCCTGACCATTATTCAGTCAGTCAGTAACAACGTGGAACTTCGTATGTACGTACATCAGTTCAAGTTGTCATACTACATTAGCACAGAGATGCAGTTGTTGATTCAAATCCCGTAGTGGTAGAGTTAGTAAGAGCATAAGCAGTAATCGGGAAGATTGGGGTTTGAAGATGCCATTCAAGGAGTATAGTCCAGTGGAATAAATTGGGAAAAAAAATAAAGGACATAAAGAATTCAGAAGATTAGAGTTTGAGAGAACACAAAGAGTGGATGCATCTGCGTCATTGCAAACGATTTTGAGCCATTTCATCCTAGGTCTCTAACCATGGATTGCTATCGTCTTGCGGATCCCAACCAAGTAGTTTACACCTACCACTTGTTAGTGACTTTATGGATTTGTGCCATGTTTTGGTCTGGCCACCCTTAGCTTCCCTTCAACCTACTATTACACCATAAAACATCGCACGTCGGGGCAGTCAGTGGTTAGGTGTACGTCACACACGTCCCAGCCATATCAACTGATGAGGTTTTACTACTTTATCAATTGGTTTGCCATCCTTACCTAGTACCCGTTTCCTAACAACTGAGTTGCTTACTCGGTGGTCCCAGGGTATACGAGCGATGCTTCGAAGACACCTGTGATCGAATACTAGTAACCTACGAATATCCTCTACTCTTACTGGCCATGTTTCACTACCTTAGATCAAAATTGCTTCTAGATAACTGAGAGATATCCGTTCAACATATTTCTTGTCTGTTTGTTTGAACACATAAATATTGGTACAAGGGAGCACCAAATATATATGCGCTAGTTCAGTTGTTAGTCCTGCTTAATATAATGTAGTAGTGAATTTATCCATTTGCCAATAGCATTAGTATTCTCATATTTTAGTAGTTCAGTTATTTTTGGTCTTTCTGTGTATGTTAGTTATCAGTCGATGATAGCCTTAAGATATACGTACTGATGCAAACAACTTTTCTTTTATACTATGCAAGCTAAAGGACGTGCTAGTGTTGATGTATTCAATTTTAATACATTTCGCTTGTTTATAAATTGTCATTTACTGTTGTTTCTTTTTTTTTTTTCAGCTCTCGTTAACCACTTAATTTCAAAACGATATGGTAGTCGACCTGTTGTGATGGTTGGTGCTTTTGGCTCTTGTATAAGTTTATTAATTGCATCATGTTCACCTAATCTTGCTCTATGGGTTGTTGCTGTTGGTTTTGGAATAGGTACTTTATCTTGACGATAAGTTTCTCTTTCTTTTTTCTCGTTTACAATTGACAGCCTACTGAGTATTGACTAATGTCATGTCTGTATGGTCCTTTAGAACTGGAAGAATTCTATTGATCAAGTTATAGTGTGATAACTAATCGAAAGGACTCAATATAGCTTGGATTCATATTGAGATGTTAACCAGTTGGAGGTAGTCAACATAACATTCTACTTGATCTAGATTCCGGTTTGATTGGTACTTGTCAACAAGATGTACTTGACATCTTGAGGAAACTGATTCTCCCTACAGACGGCTAGTCAGGATTTGAATAGCTCAATCGTAATATCTGAGAGACTCAAGCTAGCTGACACTAATTTGAATTCTACTAAGAGCATTAGTTGTTTAAAGATTCTAGGTATCTTGTTGATGAGTACTAACCAATATGATACCCAAGTACAAGGTATCTTACCAACTACCAACAAGTATTATTGATTTTGTATCATTCTATTTTTTGGCTAGACTATATTTCAGTCTTTCTAACTTCTAGTTAATTAATACACACAATGTTTGTAATGTTGATTGTTAACTGGTTCATTGTTGTTTAAGCTCGTTATTTATCTATTAGATCGTGGGTTCAAATACCACAGAATCTAAATGTTTTAGCATTTTCAATGATTAAGATCATGAGTCAGTTGAAGCTAGACCACCATGGAAAACCTGGAAGCACTGGACGGCCGTTTCGTCCTATTATGAGACTCCTCAGCAGTGCGCATCCACGACCTTACTCCCTGCGAGATTCGAACCCAGGACCTACTGACATTTAACAAATACGTATCCATAGATGTATGATTATATCTGAACAATTAAGAAAACTACCGTTCATCATTCGTATTTATTATTTATTACTTAGTTTGTTAGTAGTAAAGTTTTCGTGGTAGATCATTTCAACTATATTCGTATTTAGATACTTCTTTTTTCAACATTCAGAATTTCTTTGTAATCCAAGTTTTTAATCATTTGAATAGGATAGAGCTTTTTTTTCCCCCTTATATGATGGCAATAAACTGTGTTCACCTCAAACATTGTTTACTTACATACGTCACCTACCAACACTCTCTATTCAACCCTGTCCTTAGCAATCTTTTCCAGCTCTTTCCACCTGTTATTCATTCTATTCATATCTGCTTCTATTTCCCGACGTGTAATATCTTCCTTTTTTCCCGCTTCCCTTCAGAATTTCAAGTTAGGGCTTGCCTCGTGGTCTCTCAAACATTATTATTATTTATTTGAACACATAAATATTGGTACAAGATAGCAGCAAATAGATATGCGCCACACAGAATTTTGTGTGCGGACTATGATACTGTCCGGGTGCTCAGACCGAAACAGGTGGTTTTCTTAAGGGGTCACACTCTGGGCCTTCGACCTAAAGGTTTTAAGATATATGTAACTCATAATAAATTCACAATTTACTGATTACTTAAAACCATATTACTGATTTTGTTTAATATGACATTATTGATTTAGGAGTAAAAATGTTTTATAGTTAGCTAGCTGTAATCACCATAGAGACAAATATGTATTAGCTCAAGTTATCTGCCCCCAAATGCCCTGGTACGGTCGAGATTGGGGAGAGTCCGCTCTCCCTCACGAAATGCTCTCACATGGCTACGCGTATATAGCCTCTACCAGGGAAGTCCTACTCACTGCCTTTTCGTGGCATTACTGTTGTTTACGAAATTGAGAGGACGAAAAGCGGATATCCGGCACCGGCTTTAACCGGATCCCAAACTAATGGTGCACATGGGCTGGCTCCAGTATCCTGCCTGAAGGAACAAATGGCGTATGAACCAATCGTTGGTCACTGGCTACCATGGGATTGCATCTTCTTACGATGCTCCATTGCCTTGTGGATTAGACCTTTAGGTCAAAGGTCCAGGGTGTGGCCCCCTAAGAAAACCACCTAGTTCGGTTTGGGCACCCGGTCAGTATCACAACCCTCACACATATCAAATGAGATCTGTGTGGCGCATATATATTTGATGCCTCCTTGTACCAATACCTATGTGTTAAAATAAATAAAGCTCAAGTTATCACACCATATCAATACGACGAGATGAAATCGACAAAAAAGGTGGCAAGAGTGTCAGTGATAATAAAAAGGTTTAAATATAATCTGAAATGTAGGTAATAATTTTGAAAATTAAAGTGTAGAATGAGATATAAAGTAGATCTATCTTCACCATTGATCGCAGTTTTCGTGTGAATGCCATTCAAGTACTCCATACCAACCAAAATAGTTCAGATTAACAGTGATTTAATGGATTGATACCATGTCTTGGTCTGACCCCTTCTTACTCTTATCCGACCCACACCTACCCTGGCCAGTATTTGGGATCAAGTTAACCGGTAGTTGGGTACACTTAATCCACGTCGGTATGTAAACTATGATAGATAGTGGTTAGCAGTAGAATCCAGGACTCGCGTTTCGTCCTATTTGAGACTCGTCAGCTAGATGTACCTGCATCTCAGAGTTGATGTTCACTCTAGGACTCGAACCCAGTACCATTCACTTCAAATGCCATCGTGTTATCCACTTAGCTACTGAGTTCTGATAGCCACTTGCTTGTGCAATGGGGTGAATTTAAATTCACTTGATATTGTTTGGCTTGTATCTTCCCATTGAGGTTTAAGATTGCAATTGATCAATCTGTTATTGGCATATGTGCATACTGTGCCTATGCCTCGATATTGTCTTAATTCACAAGCTTTTTTAAGCAATGGCTCAGAATAAAAATCAATGGCGATCTTACTGTGTATGTTTTTTGGTGCTCAAATGTGCCAGAAATTGCCGACTATTATAGATATAATATAAAGTAATGAAAGAAAAAAAAACGGATTCCAAACATTCTTCGATTATTACTATATTTTGTTGGCATCTTCACCAAGCCAAACTAGGTCACATGTGTACTGTAAGTCAATGAATAAGCTCCCTGGATGGGAATTAATTTATTGGCATCCGATGATGTTTACAGATAACTGTACATTATATGACGTTTAAATCAGTCGTTAAATAAATTCTTGAGCAAGTAATATTTTGATATGACCATTATAACGACACTAGTTACCAAACCTATTATATGTTGTTAATCGACATTAGAGTTTGTGTTTTTTCCCTGACCGTTGTTGCTACCTTGACGTGGTGGTCGGGCTTGCCTATCGTGGTGAATCAACTGAACTATACTGGCCGGAACAACCGTTCCTCAAGGTCCTACCATGCCAGACAGGTCGGTTGAAGAGCGGTAAGACTAAAAGCAACAAAACCAAGGTCCGGAGGCGAAGTCGTACTGCTGACTGTACAGAGGTGTGACAGCAGTAAGGTGTTTCCTTCAGGCAACCAGCATAATAGCGATGCTGCCTTCCCACAAGGAGTGGTGTGGTGGGGTTAGAGAAGGTCGAACCTAAAAATGCACACCTTATCCCACGGATATCCGTCAATGGCGGTAAGGTGTCAAAAAGTACGGAGTTAACACAAAAATTACTCATAAAATGGTCGTGTGTGACCGACCTCAAGCAGCTGTCCCTTGGGCACTGTGGTCATGCTCTCAGGTCACTATGACCACCTCTAATCCAATTTCCTTTTTAGGTACCTCCAGGAGAACCCTTCCACGGTGTGTGCAACCGGGAAATGATAACCGCCCTCATACCTCTAACAGCACTCTCAAGACCACTGTTTGTGTTTTTTCCAGATATCTATTCAAAGTGTAGAAGATAGATCATGTATAAGTTAATCAGTACAATTAGCTTATATGGAAACAACCATGTGTGATCATATATATCGAAGAAAAGTTCTCATAGGATCCATATACATTTTAAATTTTTCTCATTTCCATTTTTCATATGTTCTATTGCTTTAGTATCAAAGAAATTATTACTCACCTATCATTTGATTAGACATAAACTAATTAACTTTACTTGTGTCTTTCCACAGGCGCATCCTTGTCATGCATTTATTTCACAGTGTTCGCTGTTGTTGGATGTTGTTTCAAAAAATATTTAGGTTTAGCAAATGGAATTAGTGTTGCCGGTGTTAGTGTTGGTCAAATGATATTTCCTTCATTGATCACTACATTGAATACTACTTATGGTGCTAGAGGTGGAGGAGTAATTATGGCTGCAATTTGTTTACATTTGTTAATCACAGCTGCCTTAATGCCTCGTCATATCATTGATCCAGATGCACCTGTTATACCAGCAGAAAAAGTTGAAACAGGCAAATCAAAACGAAAATCTTGCAAGTCACAATCAAAATCTAAAGAAGACAGACAATTAATAGCTTCAGAAGATCCATTAAATGTTGATAAACCATCGACAGCCATTGATTCAGACAAAAAGTTACAAAGTCCCGTAGATGAATTCTTCTCGAAATTAGACAATCAAAGGTAAGTTCTGTAAATTTTAATGTTTATTTACTGCTAATTATTTCCCCTGTAGTTCGAATAGTTTCCTAGCTTTGTTGCGTTGTGGTCATTAATTAAAGTAATACATTAGTGTACTTTGTTCGGTTTCAGAGTGAGTTCAGGTGATTGGAAGAAAGAGTTAGATCTAAGTTTAGCGTTACTTATCACTCGTCAGTCAGGCATATCAATTACTGTAAACATTCCAATCCTGCAATAAGTCAGTTGCTATCTGGATAGCTGCCCCCAAATGCCCTGGTACGGCCGAGAGTGGGGAGAGTCCGCTCTCCCTCTCCAAATGCTCTCACATGGCCACACGTATATAGCCTCTACCAGGGAAGTCCTACTCACTGTCTTCTCGTGGCATTACTGTTGTTTACGAAAATGAGAAGACGAAAGCTAATGTCCGGCACCGGCTTTAACCGGACCCCAAACTAATGGTGCACATGGGCTGGCTCCAGTATCCTGAAGGAACAAATGGTGAACCACTCGTTGGTCACCGACTACCATGGGACTGCATCTCCCTACGATGCTCCACTGTCTTGTGGGTCAGACGTTCAGGTCGAAGCCTCGGTGTGTGGTCACCTAAGTAAACCACCTGCTTCGGTTTGGGCATCCGGGCAGTATCACAGCCTTCACACATATCCAATGAGATTTGTGTGGCGCATATATATTTGGTACCTCCTTGTACCAATATCTATGTGTTAAAATAAATAATAAAATAATCTGGATAGCTTCCTAATAACATCTTTACTTTGATATTAAATGAAAAGAGTTCGAGTCGTGAAGAGGGGGGGGGCGAAGATCATCTTGCTCAACATTGTAGATACATATTGCTAACGAGTGTTAATACGCATAAAACCTTGAAATCGATATATAAGCATGTTTATTCACCTCTTTTTAGCTATTAACAGAGTATTAATTAATTTATTTATTTTAACACAAGTATAGGTACAGGGAGGCACCAAATACATATGCGCCACACAAATCTCAATTGATTTGTGTGAGGGCTGTGATACTGCCCGGGTTCCCAAACCGAAGCAGGTGGTTTTCTTAGGGGGCCACACCCCGAGCCTTCGACCTTAACGTCTGACCCACAAGGCAGTGGAGCATTGTAAGGAGATGCAGTCCCATGGTAGCCGGTGACCAACGATTGGTTCATACGCCATTTGTTCCTTCAGGCAGGATACTGGAGCCAGTCCATGTGCACCATTGGTTTGGGATCCGGTTAAAGCCGGTGCCGGACATTCGCTTTTCGTCCTCTCATTTTTGTAAACAACACCCCCACCACGAGAATGCAGTGAGTAGGACTTCCCTGGCAGAGGCTATATACGCAGAGTATTAATTTGGCTAGTATTACATGAATACTGAATTTAACAGAAGTTTCTGAAGAGTATTATGTTTTTATAAAACCCACTACATAGTAGTACAACTAATTTCTAATTAAATATACTCTTATTTCTATTCACTACTTATCTTTCATTTATTTTTTAGAGATGTAGTACATTCAGTGAATGCTATTATTCATTCTACGTCTACATTATCATTGTCACATGTATCTGTTCTATCATTATCAACTCGTCATGTAAAATATCTTACTCGTGGTTTACTTATTGTTTATATAGTTGGTAAATCATTTGGTGATGTTGGTGATGTTAGTGTATCTTTTATTGCACCAGTATTTGGAACTGAATTAGCCTTAAGTCCTACCATAGTGAGTATATTTTTGTATAATTCCTTTATAATATATATAATCAGATTACTGTTATCTTATGGTTTATATTGCTTGATTATTTCTTATGTTAGGTAACTAGTGATAGAAAATACGATTTGAGAAGAAAGAAATAGTTCCTGGAGTAGTACTATAAATTGATCCTAAGATTCAAGAACTATAGTAAAATAATGGATGTATCTGCGCTGTTGAGACAGATTCTAAGTTATTTCATCAAAAGTCTTCAAACATTTAACGCGGTTATCGCATGAACCCTAATCAGGTAGTCTTCACCTACTTACATGACTCAATTCTACAGTTTGTGACTATATTTGATGATGCCATATATTGGTTTGTTTGCCTTTTTATTTCTTCCAATCTACTATTTTGAGATAAACGGGGTGGTTGGGATTGTGTAATACACATTCCAGCCACTTCAGTCGATGAGGATTCACTGGTTTATCAACCGATTTAGTATGCTTGTCTTGTACACTGCGTTCAACTTCATCATTGGTTACTCGGTGATCTCAATATATACGAGCAATGCTTCTAAATATCTATGATCAAATACTATTAACATACAAATACTTCCCATTCATAAGTGGTACATTTCAAAGCCATAAAGTAGAACAGATCGAACTGCAACTCATTATACTTATCTTTTGGTTGGCAGCCTGGTATTTCTACACCACATTTGACTTGAAATGTATCTTCTGTACTTACCGAAATGGTCATTTATGTTGATGATTTAATCGCTAGTTAATTTTTATAAAAATATTGTTTGGGTAGATGCCTTTTTATATGTACTTCTTATCGTAACTTGACATTAATATATAAACCAATCAAATCGGTGCAAATTAGTTATTAGACAATCAAAGAATGGGGGTTTGTGGAGATTGTAGTAATTTAATAGTTGAATACATGAGTCGATTTAAGCTAGATCGCCGTGGGAAACTTATAAGCACTGGACAGCCGTTTCGTTCTAGTATGAGACTCCTCAGCAGTGTACACCTATGACCCTGCACACGGAACTCGAACCTGGGACCTTCAGTCTCTCATGAGAATACCTAATCTCTAGACTACTGAGTTGGCATTCAACAGTTTTAATGTCTAACTTCAACCAATTCACGATATTGCGCGTCCGTCTATCATTGTTTTCAGTAAGTAACTGTGTTACAACAGTTTTATTGTCGCTTCATAGGCGATACATATATACGAAAAGCTATACAAACAAATATAGACATTTTTTACACCTTATTTCCCAGTCATTCTTTTTCTTTTAATTGTAAGAAATAAAAAAAAAGATTATATTCATAAATAGAGTTTTCTTCGCTACTATCGATGGTTTGTCATGAAGTCTGGGTGTTAGGTTGCTATCAATGAATCACGGTACTTCGGTACTTCGACTAATAATTGAGAGATTTCATTTATATAAGAGATTATTTTATTATTTTATTTTAACACATAAGTATAGGTACAGAGAGGCACCAAATACATATGCGCCACACAAATCTCAATTGATTTGTGTGAGGGCTGTAGTACTGCCCGGGTGCCCAAACCGAAGCAGGTAGTTTTCTTAGGGGGTCACACCCCGAGCCTTTGACCTGAACGTCTGATCCACAAGGCAGTGGAGCATCGTAAGCAGATGCAGTCCCATGGTAGCCGGTGACCAACGATTGGTTCATACGCCATTTGTTCCTTCAGGCAGGATACTGGAGCCCATGTACACCATTGGTTTTGGGTCCGGTTAAAGCGCCAGACATTCGCTTTTCGTCCCCTCATTTTTGTAAACAACACCCCCGCCACGAGAAGGCAGTGAGTAGGACTTCCCTGGCAGAGGCTATATACGCATGACCATGTGAGAGCATTTGGAGAGGAAGAGCGGACTCTCCCCACTCTCGGCCGTACCAGGGCATTTGGGGGCTATATAAGAGATATATGGATGATACTTTGATTATTTGTGAAGAAGATATGGACCTCAATGAAATCTGAAATATTTTCAATAATTGTCACCCATCAATTCAATTTACCTTAGAAGCAAAGTCAAACCATGAATTTCCTTTTCTTAATGTCTGTTTAAAAAGAATGCCTGATGGTTATTTACAGAGATCTATATATAAAAAATCTACTTGAAATGGACAATACACGAGCTACCCTAGTTGAGTTCCACTAAGTAGAAAGAGGAACTTAATTCATCAAACGAATCTGTTCGAATGACATAACAGATGAGGAACTGTTTCATTTTCGACAGACCCTCATCAAAAATGGTTATCCACCGAAATTGGTTGCTAGCAATCTAGCATCCAGATTTCATGACATATCATCAACAGTAGCGAAGAAAACTCTATTTATGAATATGGAATTTAAAGAAGACACGGTTGCTGAAATCCTAAATAAACGGATTTCGAAATCGTTGGAAAAAAAAAAAGATAAGTTGCATACACTTTGTCTATATCTACTCACCAATTTAACTGCTTATATGAAATGATTTCTACCAACTACACAATTCGGTAAGGTATTTTCCGAATATTGAAATACCATCCATCCTGATTAACTCTCTATTATCTTCTCGGTTAAAAGACATTAGGTATTTAGTGAAGCTAATTAGAATAATTTGAATTATATAACAACCTACACTATGAACTACATTTTCTCTTAACGTTGTCTGTATTTATCTTTTTAAACTAATCGTATTCATCATTAGTAAAGTTAAAACGGCGAGACTATAGTTTATGGATGAACTAATCAGATATACGATAACAAAGGATGTGTTTACTGCGCAGCAGTTCGTTCCGACCGACTTTATGACAGTGAAACATGGCCGGCAAGAGTAGAGGATATTCGTAGGTTACTAGTATTTGATCATAGATGTCTTCGAAACATTGCTCGTATATCCTGGGACCACTGAGTAAGTAACTCAGTTGTTAGGAAACGGGTACTATGTAAGAATGAAAAATCAATTGATGAATTAGTGAAACTTCATCAAATGATATGGCTGGGACATGTGTTATGTATGCTCGACCACCGACTGCCCCGACGTGCGATATTTTATGATGTAGGAGTAGGTTGGAAGAAAGGTAGGAGTGGCCATACCAAAACATAGCACAAAACCATGAAGTCACTGACAAGTGGATTGAGCCATGTTGGTAGATGTAGACTACCTGGTTGGGTTCCGCGAGACGATAGCAACCGATGGTTAGAGATGTTGAATGACATGGCTGAAAATCGTTTGCAATGGCGCAGGTGCATCCACTCTCTGTGTTCTCTCAAATTCTAATCTTCTGTATTCTTCGTGTCCTTTATCTTCTTTCCAAATCTATTCCACTTGACTATACTCCGTAAATAACATCATCAAACCCTAATGTTCCCTATTACTACTTATATTTTCACTACCTCTACTACAGTGGGATTTGAATCGATAACTGAATCTCTTTGCTAATATGGTATGTCAACTCGAACTGATGTACGTACGTACACGAAGTTCCACGTTGTTACTGACTGACTAACATGTCTTGAATTTCGGCGCGAAATATTCACTCATCCATTTGGTTAAATAGAGTTTTAGCATTAAAGCTGATGTCAGTTTGTAATGAAAACCCTATATCTGATTCTTAATCCTAACCATCAACTGTAAATATTAATGGTAATACCTCACGTTGGTTTATAATCCTCATTTAGCCATAGTATGTAGGTGGACATTCTCAAGGTCAATCTAGCGTCTCTCAAAGTTCGTCCATAAATTCTATTCTCATCGTTAAAAGTACTGTTCAATTGACTAGGAAGATTTACAAGTCATTTTTTTTTGAATTTCCGTCTTTAGTTTTCTTTATTATTTTTATTTCTTGCATATAATGAATCTGTTTATACAATAATAATTTGATTACGTTAGATGGTAGTTGGAGGTGGTCGACAGGAAACCCTGGACCCGGGTTTCGTGCTATTTGGCACTCATCAGCAATCACCATCTAATCTCACAATAGTGCGCACAGTGTCGAGTCACCTAGACTAGTGGCCACATTGCAACATGGTCGATAGAATTCGATCTGCACTAATAATAAGGACTAGACACGCATGACATTGGTCACCACCCAGTGATCAATCAATTGTAATTTTATTACGTAACTTGAAGTTTTCAACTACTTTTACAAATTATTATTTAAACACCCTTTTAATTTCCTTAAATTTGTAACCTATGAACATTGTAAATTATCTTCGACACTTCAATTACTTGAATTATCTTATCTATTACGTGACTGTTTGCTAGTCTTTACCATCACTGCTAATGAAGCCCTACTCACTACCCTTGTGGTGTGCGCTACTTATATTGATATAAGTAGTATATGACGCGAGTTAAGAACGTAATGTCTGGCAGCAGAAGATGGGGGAAGATCAAAAAAGGAAGAGCGGAAACACGATGAAATATGTATGAAAACGCATGAACAATGAAATCTGAGACAATGGATTGATGTTTGCAACAGAAACATTCAAGTTTGATATGATGGATTGATATTTTGCACATTAACGATTTAATATATGGTTCTCAGATTTTATCGCGTTGTTCTGTAATTATGTGCTTAAATACATTCGATTGCCCCATTGGTGTTCTGTTCACTACAACTTCTCGCGGAGGGGTGTTGTTTACGAAATTGAGAGGGCAAAAAGCGAATGTCCGGCGCTTTATCCAGGTTGGTGAACACGAATATTTCATTCAGGAAAGTTGGAAAACCCTGATTACAAACCAATGGTGGACATGGGCTTCAGTATCCTGAGGAAACAAATGGAGTTTGAACTAATTGTTGGTCACCGGCTACCATGGGACTGACGTTGCTCCACCGCCTTGTGAATCAGACCTTTAGGTCGAAGTCTCCGGATGTGTCTCCCTAAGAAAACCACCTGTTTTGGTGTGGGCACCCGTGCAGTATCACAGCCCACACACAAATTAAATGAATTGTGTGGCGTATATGTATTCGGTGCCCCTAAATAGAAACCTTTACCATCCTTACGTGGTTTCTACTGATCTATCAGAAATCCTTATAGCTAATATGTGCATTACATTTTAACTATGATCATGTACTTAGGGCAAATGTTTTTTTTTGTTTGGTGTGTAATATATTCATCGTTGTTCACTCAGTGTAGTTGATACTTTTGTTATTTCCTTCAAAGTTTACATTCAACTATAACATTAAAATCAACATTAAATCACACGGATCATAGACTGAAACTGATAACAGAATAGCGTGATGTTTTTGCTAACATGAATGTTGTTTGTACAAAGACAGTTATGCTTTTTAAATCTGCTATCGTTAAGAAAACACTTAATGTTTTGATTAAGATCATGAACCGATTGATGTCAGATCACCATTGAGAACCTAGAAGCATTGGACGGCCGTTTCGTCCTATCGTAGGACTCCTCAGCGGTGCGCATCCACGATCCCGCCCCCCCCCGCGGGATTCAAACCCAGGACCTACTGAACCACTGAGTCGGCTTCCAATGGTGTTACTGTCTAACCTCAATCAATTCATGAAGTTACGCAACCATCTTCCATTGTACTGTGGTAGACACCTGTTTCTACCCGACACGGATTAACTCCACTAGTCACGACTTCTTACCAGTACTCGAGGAATTTTCTCATGAAACTAGTCACTAGTGAGTACATTGTAATTATCCGTATAGGAGTTCATAATCTCAATCTCCACAACCCCCTATACTATTACTTCATGTTTTGTTGACGTCATAACGTATTAAATTTTGTGCAACATTATTTTTAGCTATTCCAAATATAAACAAAATGTTTGTTTGTTTATTTGTTTGTTTGTTTTTTCGATTTGACCTTTCTATTTTTTGTTTATTTATGTCTAACTTTAATGTTTTCAATGCTTGACAACTTACTTACTTACTTTCTTTCTATTGAAGATATTCATAGAGATATTGTATTTTATTCTATGTAAACATGATTAAGATTATTGTATGTAGGAATACGGGTAATTGTATATGTATTTATGATTTCTATTAAGTTAAAGTAGAACATGATTACCATCATTAATAATGTAGTACTATTCAACTGAAACAATCTGTCTGCATATAGTATTATCTATTCAAGTTGTCTAAGTTTTAAATAACAATTCTTGATTTTTATCAGAAGGGATTGTGTGGAGATTTTAGAAATTTCACTGGTTGAAATCATGAATCCATTGAAGCTAGACCACCATGGAAAACCTGGAAGCACTGGATGGCCGTTTCGTCCTAGTATGGGACTCCTCAGCAGTGCGCATCCACGATCCCGCTCCTCGCGAGGTTCGAACCCAGGACCTATCAGTCTCGCGCTTCGGTTTGGGCACCCGAGCAGTATCACAGCCCTCACACAAATCAATTGAGATTCGTGTGGCGCATATGTACTTGGTGCCTCCTTGTACCAATACCTATGTGTTAAAATAAATAAATAAATAAATAAATAAGTTCTAAATACATTTTTCGTTATAATGTTTGTTTCATTTCAAAAAGTTGATTTATTTAAGAATGTCAAACAGACAACGCATCGGTGAGAGCAATTTTGCTTTATGCTTGTGAAATCTAACCTCTCCAAGTTGAAGATGTTAGACGATTCTTTGTGTTTAATCATCGTTGTCTCCAAATGATTGTTGACATCTAGAGTGGCAACATCATGTTAGTAATGCAGAGGTTTGACATCGTGTGTTCGAGCACAGAGACGATCATACAATTGATGTCACCATGTTGAAACACCGACTTTAGTGACTTGGACATGTTCTAGGAATATCGTCCTAGAGAATTTTACGTCGTGGATTATTTTCCGAATCTGGGACTGGTTGGAAAAAGCGGAGAGGTGATCAGTATATGACATGGTGTCGTGGTACAGAAGAAAGTTGCAAAGGGTTGGCTTGTGTTGGTGCTTCACGACTCCGTGGCTGGGGTCTGAGAGATGGTGAAGCCAGTCTGTGTATTCTTTTCATTAATGTTCAAGTAGTTATTGTGGCTCATCATATATAGAAATCATTTATTAAGTTATCGATTTACTGTTACTTTAATTCACTTAAAAATTTAGTTCTTCATTTTCATTAAATTAACCCTAGTGTACTATTTATGTTTTTCAATTATCATTTCTTTCATTATGTTTATCTATTAGATCAATAGAGCTATAGCTGTTGCTGGTGTCGGTGACTTAGTCACACGTGTGGGAGTTGGTTGGCTTACAGATAGACCAGGATGTGTTGGTCGTCGTGGCTTATTATTAGCTGTTACATGGATTATAGAAGGTTTAAATGCTTTTGCATTTGCTGAACTTAACCGATTATATGGAAAACATACTGTAAGTCTATAAACATTAATGCTTGTGTAACTTGATCATTTCTGTCTGTTTTGATAACCAAATAAAATAACTTCATCATCCACACTGTCTTCAGAACATAATAACTTGATTCTGTGGTTGAGACACTTAACCAAATTTATTTTATATTGAAAAGGTGTAAAGCTTTGGAAATGGGTATACTAACCCATCCATGTACTCTTTCTAAATATATTTCGCTTTATCGAACCATCTATCCTTCTAGAAAGTAGGACATCCAGAAAAGCTATACTATTGTTTTTCTCCTCCTCGCTGGTAAATTTAATGGCTAGGTGAATATTATTCAAAGTGTCTAACATCTCCTGTTTGTCGATATTTTCGTCACATATGATTAGTGTGTCATCTATATATCGATAATAATAATAATCAAGCTTATTTAGGATGTCTTTAAGCGGTCCATTTTCTAGTTTGGTCAGAAAAAAATATTAGTAAGGATCAAGCCTAGAGGTGATCCCATTGCTATCCCATCTACTTGTCTGAAAAATTCATTGTTAAAGTTCAATCATCAAATGCTTCTGTTCTATCTGATTTTAAGCATGTCATGCTGTGTCGAACGCGTTGACAACTTCACTTATCTTGCAAGTCTAATCAGCCGTAATGGGTTGGTATCTGACGAAATCTCAACACGGATTCGGAAAGCTCGTTTGGCTTTTACCAACTTAGGTCACCTATGGCGAAGGCGAGATATGCGTCTATCAATTAAGGGACGAGTATACTGAGCAGCAATTTGTTCTGTTTTACTTTACGACTGAGAAACATGGCCACTAAGAGTAGGAGATACTCGTAAGCTACAAGTATTTGAACACAGATGTATTCAAAATATTGCTAGTATCTGCTGGGATCACCGGGTAAGTAATAATGAGTTCAGATGCAGGACATTAGGGAATGATGGTAAATCAATTGATGAAATTATGAATCTTCATCGACTGAGATAGTTGGGTTACATGTTGCGTATGTTTATTTATTTATTTTAACACATAAATATCGGTACAAGAAGGCACCAAATACATATGTGCCACACAGATCTCATTTGATATGTGTGAGGGCTGTGATACTTCACGGGTGCCCAAACCGAAGCAGGTGGTTTTCTTAGGGGGCCACACCCCGAGCCTTTGACCTGAACGTCTGACCCACAAGGCAGTGGAGCATCGTAAGGAGATGCAGTCCCATGGTAGCCGGTGACCAATAATTGGTTCATACGCAATTTGTTCCTTCAGGCAGGATACTGGAGCCAGCTCATGTGCACCATTGGTTTAGGATCCGGTTAATGCACCGGACATTCGCTTTTCGTCCTCTGATTTTCGTAAACAACAGTAATGCCACCAGAAGGCAGTGAATAGGACTTCCCTGGCAGAGGCTATATACGTATGGCGATGTGAGAGCATTTCGAGAGGAGGAGCGGACTCCCCCCACTCTCGGCCGTAGCAGGGCATTTGGGGGCGTATGCCTAAACACCGATTATCACGACAAGCAATGTTGACTAGTGTTATAGACGACTGAAAGAAATTTAGAGTTAGCCAAACTAAAATGTATCATCAGAGCTTAAAAAATCACCAACCTTTCATCTTAGCCATGTTAGTTCAATACAAACTACTTGTGATTCGGGTCCATATGACTATCAGAACCAATGATTATAGGCAACTAGCACCGATACCCATATATGCCTTATCCTATGTTGTAACTAACTGAATGATTGATATTTAATAATATATATGTATTATTCATTATAAACATTAGTTCATTAAAATTTTCCGCATTTAACAACATACTTATCAATTTCCTCTTTAATTATACCTACTTAATTGATCATTGAATTCTTTTGATTGTTCAAATGGATTTAAGCACAAAATCAACCATTTTTTTTTGTTTTGTTGTTGTTGTTGTTTTATCTTTCACGGATAAAATACAACTATGTTAATCAAGTTATATTATCATGATTAAAAATAATAAAAAAAAAAATCAAGTACCATGTTTGTTTCTATGTATATGGGTGTGTATGTGTGTGTCTGTGTATGTGTGTGTGTGTGTGTATGTGTACGTTTAAGTAATATCTCAATTCTATTGTCATTGAAATATCTATTTGCCAAATTATTTCAGGAATACAAATCATTGATCAGTTTCGATGGTAAAAACAAAAGGGTGATTTATATCAATTAATTTTTGTTACGCAAAAACAACAAAAAAAAAAATAATTGTCTAAAATCCAAGTTTGTATAGATTATGTCTTAATGAATGTCACTATAAAATAGATGGATAATATGGTGTGATTAATAGAATCTCATAATCCTTGAAACATTATTAGAATAGTTTAGGATTATAGAGTAAGGAATACTGAATTTAAACATATAGTATCAAGTAAATATAATAAATTGATTGATGAATTAGTGGCTTCTGAATGCTTTGGTACAGTCGAGAGTGGGGAGAGTCCGCTCTCTCTCTCTCTCTCTCGAAGTGCTCTCACATGGCAACGAGTATATAGCCTCTGTCAGGGAAGTCCTACTCACTGCCTTCTCGTGGCATTACTGTTGTTTACGAAATTGAGAGGACAAAAGGCGAATATCTGGCGCTTTAACCGGATCCCAAATCGATGGTGCACATGGGCTGGCTCCAGTATCCTTAAGGAACAAATGGTGTATGAACCAATCGTTGGTCACCGGCTCCCATGAGACTGCATCTCCTTACGATACTCCACTGTCTTGTGGATCAAACCTTCAGGTCGAAGGCTCCGGGTGTGGGGTCCCCTAAGAAAATCACCTGTTTCGGTCTGGGCATCCGGGCAGTATCACAACCCTCACACATATCAAATGAGATTTGTGTGGCGCATATATGTTCAAATAAATAAATAAGAAAGCTCCACAACTAAACCATCCATCTCAGAGAACAAATCTCCATCAAAATCATCCACCTTAACTACAAATCTTCTCTATCATCTCACAATTATGAAACTACTACAATTATCTGATTCATTTCATAATTTTAAATCAACTAAACTAAAATATTCCATCAACAGATTTACACTTATAAATCATCGTCTGTCAGTAGCTTAACACTGGACTGAACTAATACTATTGATATTTATGTTGTCTTACAAAGTTACCTATTCATACAATCACACTTATTATACCCTATGTAATATGGAGTTCAATTGGTTAAGTGATTCATTCATAGTTTACATATATACACACATGTATCTGTCCAACTATAATAATAATGTTTTGTTTATAATGGATATTTCCGTTTTTTGTAGATTATTACCGATGATAATAGTGATGTTATTGACAATAATAGTAAATCAATACTAATCGCATTTTATTTTATATGCTCTGCTATACATGGTATATGTAGTGGAACTGCTATGACTCAAATGGTTGTAGTTTTATCCGATTGGGTTGGTTCATCACAATTAGCACAATCTTTAGCAGTAACTATGGTTATTTTAGGATTAGTTATATCACCGGGACAATTTTTAATGGGTAAGTGTTATATTTCTTATTTTTAAAATCTTTATATTTTTTGTTGTTGTGGGTTGGACCTAAAGGTCCAACCCACAACACAGTGGAACATCGTGAAGAGATGCAGTTTCATAATGGCCAGTGACTAACAATTGATTCATATGCGATTTTTTCCCTCAGGATACTGAAGTCAGCCCATGTGCACCATTGGTTTGAGATCCGGTTATAGCGCTGGACATTCTCTTTTCCTTTTCTCATTTTCATAAACAACACCCCCGGTGCGAGAAGGCAGTGAGTAGGACTTCCCTGACAGAGGCTGTATACTCGTTGCCATGTGAGAGTATTTCGAGAGGGAGGGCTGTCCCACCCCACTCTCGGCCATACCAGGGGGGGGGCTCTTATTGTCTTCTTCTATTCAATATACTGACTTCTATATCTTATTCAGTAGAGTTATATTTCGATTGAAATGTATAAATTCTGTAGATAATGGGAGTCTAAAAATCTACAAGCCAAACATGATAATAGTAATCTAACTCAACAGTATAAATCCCATAATTCATCATATTCAAATGGATGGAATAGTAACATTCAAATGTATATCTGGATATGAGATCTATGTCACCATATATAGATTCTTTATTTCATGATAAATTATTCAATTCAGTATATAATAAGAATTAGACTTTGCAATCTCTCCTAGCTACCATCAGAATGTTCTCATTTAACATGGCAACTTTGTGTTCCTCTTGATAAGCATTCATTGAATGATACTGAGTCGATAACTTTGTCATTGTTATAACGCTCGGTATTACTTTATCTGATGTTGTAACGCTTAAACGATTATCTACACTAGATCCCTCCCAGTGTCTATCCTACAGGATTTCAACACAACTTAGATCAAGAACACGTAATTAACCTGACCAGAACGTAATATATTTTCACACTCAAAAACCCGACACAATCCACAACAATGAACAATCAATAATAAGATGTATATAAGAGAGAGTGTGAGTCACAATAATAAGGGTAAGGGAGTATATAACCTATTTGACACCTATCAGACTGTCTACATGTTTGACTAAGCAGACAACCAATCACAATCGTTCTCGCCCACACAACACGCCTCCCTCACGAAGTTTGATCGTATGATTTCGCTTTCGGGTCTATTTGAAAAAATCTTGTTTGTTTTTGTTCACGTGATGATTTTCGACTGGCATATGATTTCAGTCCATTTTTTCCATTTCAAATTGTGGTGGTGGTGGGATATTAAAAGTATTACATAATATCAACAAATTGTTCTGCTTGCCCATTTAACTGAGGGTGATACAGTGGAGTTCTAATGTGTTCGATTCCATTTTTTTTACAGAACTCCGCAAACTATGACGACGTGAACTGCGTCCCGTTATCTGAAACCAAAACATTAGGTGTCCCAACCCTACCAAATAGTTGTCTGAGATGTAACAGTGTTTCAGACGTAGACGGTCTTCGCACAACATAAATTTCAGGTCATTTTGAGTATGAATCTACCACCACCAAAAAAATATTGTCCATTTATTGGTCCAGCATAATCGACGTGTAGTCGAACCCAAGGCTTTTTCGTTTCTGGCCATGGCTGGGATTCTACTTTTGGTGGATCTTTTGCACCTTCGGCACATCGACAACATCTCAATACGTGTTCTTCCACAGCCTTATCCATGAATGGCCAATAGACATAACTACGCATAATTGCTTTCATTCTGTTCATTCCCGGATGACTACTGTGAAACTATCTAAGCACAAAAAACTGAAGAGATTTAGGGATAACAACACGATCGCCAAACATTAAATAATTATCATAAATCGATATAGACTCACGTCTCAGAAAAAATTGGTGAAAATCCCGATCAGCCTTATCCTCTTTTCAACCATTTAAAACAGCTCCTTTTATTCTTTTGAGTAGAGGATCACTAGCCGTAGCTTCTTTAACTGCTTCCGCCGTTACTGGTAGGATTCTAATAGCATCACAGAACACTCGTTTTATTTCCGGTTCAATTGATATAGGGGGAAATTATCATTTGGAAAGGATTGCTCAGCATGATAAGATAAAATGTTGAGATTGAGATGAAATGTATTCAGGAGGATCGTAGAAAACTGAAATAAACCAGTTGGGGTAGAAGATTCAAGGGGAAGGTGGAAGATGAAACAGATGACTGTAAAGGAACAAGAGAAAAAAGTTTTAATACATTAACACCAAGGTAGAAGAAGAGGTTGTACCAGTCTCTTTTTGCACACACAAATCTGGTTTTTTTCCAGATGAATAGTTATTGCTTCGGCAATACAACGAAGATGCAGTCTAATTACCTTAGGAAGACTTCTATTTACCTTGTAGATGACTTTGAAAGGAGAGTCTGTCTTGATTGAGTGACCTGTGTTCACAAGATGTTCGATTATAGAACGTCTTATTAAGCCGTTGCCTTTATAATATGATTTATTTTGTACTTTTCAACAGACTACTAAGTTACTATAAATACAATTGCATAGCTTGATGAAATAGTATTGTAGGGCCAGTGAAATTCCACTGAACCCTAGCCAAATCATCCGGCAGTTGGGTCATTGAATATCGAACAAATCATCAATCCTCGTCAATGTCAAGGACAACCAACGCGTATCAGTTAATCGTACGCCATGGACTCGCCCATACGGCAGTGGTCTTACTTTCGCTTGTATCTACTTTAACTAATATATCTCTGTAATAAAGTCCTCTATGTTGTACAGTCTTCAAAGTAGCTATGGTACATTGATACGTCAATAGGGTAGTCCACGTATGGTGCTGATCACGAGGTGTGACTTCGACGCTAGCTGGTTCGTCACACTATTCCGATCATTCGACATAGATCATCTACGTTGGTGATCTACAGTATCATAGCAAACAAAAAACCCTTTCCGCTTAATTGTTTTTTTTTTATATTCATAAATTGTTTACCAAGGTGTAGGTGAGTAAACAAATATTTAAGTAGTATATTGTTTAACATATGATTGTTTTGTTTTTTTTTAATTTTTATAAAGCTGTATTCAATTTCTTATTGCTTTCACCTTTACATTTATATTATAATAATTTCAATAGTTATGAAAATAAGTCAATTAAAGTTAGACTACCATGGAAAACCTGGAAGCACTGGATGGACGTTTTGTCCTATTGTGGGACTCCTCAGTAGTGCACATCCGCGTTGATCTCTGGGTCAGTGGTTTAATGGTTAAGCTCTCGCGCACGAGACTGATAGGTCCTCGGTTTGAATCTCGCGAGGCGGGATCATGGGTGCGCAATGCTAAGGAGTAGTCTTACAATAGGATGAAACGTCCATCCAGTGCTTCCAGGTTTTCCATGGAGGTCTGGCTTCAATTGACTCATGATTATTGATTCCTGTTTGATCCATAAATTTTATCAGTTACATGTTATATCTTAATCTGTTTATGTATATGATGTGCTAGATGTTCAGTGAATTACTGATTAATCAGTATTACACTCTAATCTGAAGAGTTTGATTGAAATGATTCCAGCCAGTCTACTTGTGACACAATTGCCAATGAGCTCTAATTAGTACAAACTAAGGGTCGTAGCTTTTTTTTTGTTGGTTTCTAAAAACCTCATATTACTAAGTTTGTTTAGTGAAATCGTTTGTGTTTTCCTGATTGTTTTTTTTGACTGAGTTTTCAAATAAGACCTTAATAAAACATGTATTTATGTTAAGAATTCAAGCTTAGTGCATATTGAGGTTAAGAGCTTCTAGAATCGATATCGATAGAAGCTGTAATACTAAGTGATATAGGGGTTGCTCCCAAATGCCCTGGTATGGCCGAGAATGCGGAGAGTCCGCTCTCCCTCTCCAAATGATCTCACATGGTCACGTGTATACAGCCTCTGACAGGGAAGTCCTACTCACTGCCTTCCCGTGGCATTACTATTGTTTACGAAAATGAAAGGACGAAAAGCGAATGTCCGGCGCTATAACCGGATCCCAAACCAATGGTGCACATGGGCTGGCTCCAGTATCCTGCCTGAAGGAACAAATGGCGTATGAACCAATCGTTGATCGCCGGTTACCATGGGTCTGCATCATCTTATGATGCTCCACTGCCTTGTGAATCAGATCTTCAGGTCAAAGACTCGGAGTGTGGCCCCCTAAGAAAATCACCTGCTTCGGTTTGGTCACCCGGGCAGTATCACAGATGGAGTTTCAATCATATGTTGAGGCAATAAATTCTATTCATTGATAATTCTATGAGTATCTAAGATAAAACATCGTTTGTTTAACCAGTTATTTAGACTTCTGTATTCTATCATTTATTCGTTCGAGGTTACATGTGAATAGTGTTTTTAATCTAATTTTTGATTATGATAGTTGTACATTAGGAATACTTACTTGTGGACGTTGTTTTTAGCAAGACATTTTTTCTACGGGATGGTGTTGCTGACCCTATCCACAACTCTCCTCATTTACTCGGGTTTGGGACTGGCAGTAACTCTAGTAGAGGTATAGGCCGAGTTACATTAGGAATAACCAGTTATTATTTACAACTTAAATGTCATACGTGAACTACATTTTATCCTATTTAATAGTAATTTTATTTAGCAAGTAGATTATCATGATCCAATCAGATTTTCTTTGATATTAAAGATACCACAGGTATTTGGAGTTTGACATGATCGATAGCATTCGATCTGCACTAACAATAAGGACTAGACACGCATGACATTGGTCACCACCCAGTGATCAATCAATTGTGATTACATCTCAGTCCTACAGGAGGTCGGTCGCGGCCCGGATAGCTCAGTGGTAACGTCTCTGACTGTGAAGCTGGGTGACACGGGATCGAATCCGCCAGAGAGCACCAGTTCCCTCAAAGATTACAGGTACACCTTGCTGACGAGTGCCAAATAGCACGAAAGCCGTGTCCAGGGTTTCCTGTCGACCACCTCCAATCACCATCTAATCTCACAATAGTGCCCGCAGTGTCGAGTCACCTAGACTGGTGGCCACATTGCAACATGATCGATAGCATTCGATCT